AAATTTTTAATATGTTTAATTTTCATGTTTGTTTAAATTATTCCCCCCCCCCCTCAAAATTTTTGGCCAGAAAGGACGTTAAACTAATTATTAATTTGGAACGGCCTTATAATTGATGTCTATTATGACTTACTTTTTTGTAAACATATTCTCCAAATTAAAACTTTTCAAACTTGTTATTTAATAGTTGAATCGGGACTTAATAATAATTTTATTTATTATATGATTCATATTTAATATGTATATAATTAATTGACTAAACACGAATAAAATAAAAAGAATGAAAAAAAGAATGAATAAAGACTTATATTCTTTAAGATAATTTAAATATAATATTCAAATATCAAAATCAATTTCCTGTGAAATATATCCTATTTTTCAAATTAAAGAAATCAAGATTAAAATAATAAAATTATTTGTAAAATTATAAAATAATATTTGCTTACTTTCATCATCAATATATTTTTTAGAATAATTTATATCAATGTCCAATTCAAATTCTTGCGTAATATAATCTAAATAAATGAAAATAAATAAATTTTATTAGGAATTAATACAAAGATACAAAAGTATTATTTTACCATTATCCTCAGTTTCAATTGATCTAATCTTTTTAATAAATTTATCTGAAAATATTTCATTTTAGTAAATATTGAATGTATTTGCACTTATATACTGTATAATTTTTGACTTTACCGTACCTCCATCAAAACAGTTTTTAGCTTGGTTATCTTCAAACTTCCTTTTACCTTTAAATATATAAAAATAATTCAATAAAAATAAATCTAAATAGTAATCAAATACGGTCTTACAATTTTCAATTCTGGCCGTTACTATAATTAGTTTGGGATAGTATCATATAGAACCAATTGTTTCATTATATTTACCAACTTCTGCAGTTATAGACTTGCCTCTTAAACTTCTTGTTGACATTGCAGATTGAATCATACCACTTAAATGTCTACTCTTATAAATTGCACCTGGATTATTTGTTGCTACTGGCCCAATATCTGACGATTTTATAATTTTAGTTGGATTCATATTTTTGCCTTCAATATTGAATATTTCCTGCATTTTGTCTCTTAAAACAGTAGCTTTCGGTCTTTTATTTGGATCAGAATTCCAGCATTCTTTCATTAATTCAATATATCCTTCGGGTGCATTTGTAACAATTGGTGGTCTTAAACCATCACATATTTCAATTATAAGTTCTGTATCATGAATTCTATCCCAAAAAGGTCTTCTACCTGTCATAAATTCCCACATAATCATCCCAAAACTGTATATATCTGAGGCTGTAGTATATTTTCGTCCTTGAAAAATCTCTGGCGCCATATAAGGAATAATACCATATCTCTCATCATTATTTTCTGTATATTCAATTGCCGATTTACTTATTCCCAGATCACCTATATATGCAAGCATATCTTCAAGCAAGATATTTCCACTATGTAAATCTCTATTAATAATATCTTTAAGAAAGATATTTCCACTATGTAAATCTCTATGAATAATATCTTTTACATGTATATAAAAAAGCCCTTGTGCTATTTCCCATAATCTTTTAGATTTTGTATGCCAATCAATATTATAAAATTCATTACTTAAATAATGTGACAAATCACCCGAACTATAATATGGCATAATAATCATAACATCTTTGGTAATAGGATCTTGTGATATTCCTAAATAAGTACAGATGCAAGAAACGTCATTATTTGAAAAAATCTGATAAAATACCTTGAGCTAAAAAAAGAATAATTAGTTTACCATTGTCATTACATCCATTACATCGAAGATTAAAAATATTACATGTATCATACCTCATTCAGTTCCTTTGGTGTAATGTTTTTAGAATTATTAAGATGTTTAAGAACAACTGAATAGTTCTTCTTACGAGCAATATTCCAATTACTAAAACTATAACCTACAATATCCCGCCAATTAATTGGACCATCAGTCCAAGTAGCTTTATAAACTTTACTAAATCCCCCTTCGGCAATAAATTCTATATTTTTGAATTGATCATAATGAATAACCTCCAGTTTCCCTCATCATCAACATAATTTCTCTGTGTATGTGTGATAAAATCATCGATAACTTTGTTTCCACTTGACTTAAACAGCATCTTTATTTTGTAGCATATGTGGCAAATCTGGTGACTTTCATCTAAAGTTCTTCTTTTTCTCTTACACTCATTACATTTTTTATATATATATTTATTGCGTTGAGCAATTAGCGCCGGTTGATTTAAATACATGTTTTCTGATATTAAAACTCAAATTTATGTATATAGTCCGTTGATTACTATATATCAATTTTTTTTAATCGTTAGCTTAAGAAAATTATCCATATATATATATATATTTTCAATAGTAAAAATCGTGTGAAAAAAATTGGCTAAAGAATTCTTTTTCGAATTCTAAGAATTTCGCACAAAGTTCCCATGAAAGAAAATTCTAAAAAACTAATCTAGAATTTTATTTTAGAAATACGAGAATTCTTTCGAGAAAGATAGTACAGTTGTGCAGGTGTAATGTTTGTAATGATGTGCATGATTGTTGATTTATTCCAATAAAGTATTATTCAGGTATTGGTAATTGTAAAATTTCACTAACTCAAAAAAGAAAAAAAAAAATTAATACTGAGTTTGGACTTTGGAATATCATCAATGAATATACTATACTACTTTAGTTCTATGACGATCACGAATAACAGACAAATAGCCTTTTCCTATCTGTCGTACTCTCTAAAATAGTGTTACAATTTTTTTTTATGACCCATAGACTCCCAGTTAAACGATCATCAACACACTAGTAAAGTGTACTCTTTTTGGTTGTAAATTATAGATTTAGGAATAAGAATAATGAATCCTAAATCTAAGAGTATAACTCCCTCCTTATGAATCGATGGCCTATATTTTCATTTTTTTCATGCACTCAACATATTACGCAATATTTACGCAAAAAATAAAAATTATAAAAAAATTTTTTTTTTTATGTGTTGCTCAATATATAATATATTTACGCAAAAATAAAATTAAAAAATTTTACGTATTACTCAAAATATACTGTATTACATAATATAAAATTTATCAATTTATAAAAAATAAAAAAAAAACGTGTTACCGCAATATAAAATTTATTTTTTTCATAAAAATTTTACGCGTTACTCAAAATTAATATATTTCGCAATTTTTTTCATAAAAATTTTACGCGTTACTCAATCAATATATTTTGCAATATTTTCGCTTTACTCAATCAAATTTCATAATTTACATAAAATAAATGAATCAAATAAATTTGGTTTCTGGAATTTGTAATGAAAATAAAAAACTGGAATAAATCTATGCAAAAAAATTTTTGTTTCGCAAATTTTATTTGGCTGTTCCAATTTCCATAAAGGTATAAATGAATAATTACAAAAAGGCAATACATGATCAGATGATGTGGCTATAATACATATAATACAAATATTATACGTTAATCAAAATCCAAATATGTAAGTTGTTTATTTGTTATGATAATTTTTTTTCACACCGTTTAATTAAAAAAAAAAAAAAGGTTTAGCGTCTTTGGTAACTCTAGAATCTAACGTTAAGGGTAGAGTATTACTTCATCATATATGCAAAATGTCCAAAGTTTCATAATACCAATTTTCAGCAAAATATGAAATCCTGTAATAATAAACATAAAGGGATAAAATTATATGGTTAGAAGCCATTGTTCTGAACTTAATTTTTTTTTAATTTAAAATATTTATTCGAAAAAAAATTTTGAGAACCCTTCAAATGAAACTTAAAAAAAGCTGGCGCCATATTATTTCTGGTTAATGGCTAGTTTAATTAAAAAATACAAATTGTCAAAATTGAAATGTAAAATAATTAAAAATAATTTCTATTTTTAAACAAAGAAAATAGGAAAAAAAAAAACTTTCAAAAAAAAAACTTCTACACATTATACACGTTAAAGAGGACGAAATAATGAATGGTCAAGAAAATATTGATAAATAACATCATTGATATTAATGGAACTCAAAATATAAACTTCTTTGTAATGCATTATTGAGGAGTTTGAAGTAAACTTAGATACCGAATGTCCACCTTGAACTCCGTATTAAAAGCGGTAATTTAACGATACACATCTTCTGTTAAACATTAATCTGAGTTTCACAGAAAAATGTTACATTTAACAAGCGTAATTTTTTTTAATAAGACACCTTCTTATTTCTTTGTATTACTTTTTACGCAGAATACACACATAATTTCGATCAATACAAGAAGTCTATTATAGTTTAAAATTTGACTTATTTAACAGGTAATGCAATCCATGCATATTCTGGACAAATATAAATTTTAATTAGCCAATTGAATTATTGAACGAGTGAATAGTATATCATTAAAAGTTGTACAATAAATATATTTGAAATTTTCATGCATGATATTTTGCTGCTGATTGTGCACATGACCAAAATTTAACGTTAATATGTAATCAAATAAATGGATTTTGAAGAATACGAGACCAGATGATAAAGAAAAATACAAATATACATAAACCGACTTTGCAATTTAATAACTTACTTTTGATACAAATCAATTAAAGAAACGGAAGAAAATAGATAAAAATTTGTTGAAGAGAATTATTACTAGACTTTCCATCCTTTAATACAAATAATCCTTCAATATTTATTGATTTTTATTCAATAGTTTAACATTTATTTAAACCCTTTAATTCAAACCAATGCTGAATTATTATGTTTAGAGGAGTTTGACTCATAATATTATTATTTTTTTTCTTCGTTATTATGCTATTATGCTTTTTTTTTTTATTAAAAGGAAGGTTTTTCGGTGTACATAACAAATATTCATTTTAAAAATAATATATAATTTAGTTATTGCAAATAAAATCAAAGATAATATTTTAATCAAAACATAACACGACACGTATACTCCAGAATAAATAAAATTATTTTTAATTGTAAATAGAGTTTTCATGCGTCATTTATTATTTTAAGGCGTTTTCTTTGAACTCCGTTGATTTAGCACAAAATGTAAAACAATAAAGTTGTATCGTTTGTTTTTCAGATTTAATCAATCTATTCATCTATTATCTATACTACAAATTCAAAGCTCAAATTATTTTACACAAAAGAATTGCTTTGATAGGGATTGGAATCGATTCTAAAAATCGAATTAATCGAAAATCCGATTATCGAATAAAAAATTCGAAATTATAGTGCCAGCCAGAATTACGAAATTATAAATTACGTGACATCGGATCTTTATAAAGTTTTAATTCCGACCGGAATTATAATCTTGGCCAGAGTATTCGTCGATCACTGATTATTCGTGCAATAAACGTTTTATTTTAAATGCAAAATCATAAAATTTAACAAACAAATTGTTCATATGTTAAATTTGTGATCATTGGAAATTTTCCTGCCACAAATTTAATGATGCACAATCAATTAATCGAAATCGAAAATCGAATTTTAGGATCGAAATTTGAGAAACGATTAATCGCGATTAGTCGATTCTAAAATCGATTCTAATTATGGGGAATCGATTCCAATCCCTAGCTTTGAAGTATGAAATAAATTATGTAAGACGAAATTAAATAATAAAATGACATGGAATTGACAAAATATTATTGCTTCATTGCCATAAAATATTCAATTAAGTTTATTAAAAATGATATTTAATTAATTACTATGTACAAATTAATAACAAATAATAATCATTTAATAGCAAAATTATTTTTTAAAAAAAAGTTAAAATTATTAAACAGTGAATTTTTTTAAGTTTCTTGTTCTCCGTTAAAAATAAATTCTCTGCTAGCTGGTTAGTTTCGTGGGCGCGGTTTGTGTCGATCTTCACCATATAAGGAATAAGTGACATTTAAGTGTCACTGATCACGTGCAGTCACGAGTTCAAAAACATTAAGTATCTGAGGGACTTAGTTTTTTTTAGTGCCGAATATATGAGAAAAACTCTTTCTCCTTTCCGTCTGGAATTTTATATTCCGCAGTAATATTATAAAGATTAACCCTTAAAAACCTTTATATGCTAAAGAGCGTACATAGGTGAGCCCTTTCTGGGCTCGGCGGAAAGGCGAGGTTTGATACCTTACCAGACTACACTCTTTTACACCCTTATGAACGAAAAAAACTCGGACTTCAACCTTATTCTCAACCCTCCCAACTACGAAAAGATTCTTTTCGGCTTTAGAGAAGAGCGTCTTTTACACAACAAATTTTTTGTCTTTCAACTAAGGTTCTCCAACCCAGAAAATATTCTTAAAAAGAAGATAACTTCTTTACACCAAGTCTCTTTACACCACTTGGAACTTTGGATAGAAGACTCTTTCGTCCAAACTGACGACCACTCTTGCTTCGAATTCTTGGCGTTGGCATGGTCTCGTGCTCAGCAAGACAATTTTCCTTTTTTGGATACATGCAACGTGTATTTTAATTACAAAGATATCCAAACTACACCAATTAAAACTCACGCTACACTAACCAAAATTTTCCTTATCGGGATTAACCTTCACGTTGACAAGAATCTTCCAGATATTTGGGCAAGACAGTCACGTGATATAGATAAAATTTTTTCTAAGGATGATATATATTCCTTATGGCGTTGGTTATTATTTCATGACACTTCTGGTTTAAATAAAGGCTCAGGAGTTACCATCATGATTACTGACAAAATAGCAAAAGATTTACAACATACAGAATTTCTCGAAGGACGTATCATCAATCTCATCTTCGGTTTTAAGAAATCAAATTAACTGAACGTGACTTGCTGCTACTTACCACCTAGCCCTAAGATAGACATTACCAAATTTAAAATCAGCGCTATTTGCGTCAATAGATTTATTTTTTTATTTTTTTTTTCTTATTTGTTTTTTTTGTTTTTATATAGATATACAATAGTTCTATAAACATATGTCTTTGACATTAGATAGTTTATTTTTATTTTTTTTTACGTTTCCACTAGTGCTATTAGGCGGGTGTTCTTGGGAAAGTTCTTGGATCTGACTCGTGTTCACCTATATCCATAGAGGACAGAATTCGTCACGCTTCGGGGTGGCTTGACGTGTAGTGATAGAATTACATATAGACTCATTTTTATGCTGTCAGCGTAATTGAATCTACCGTTTCGCTTTTCTGTTTTTTAAAAATTAAAAATAAAAATAAAATAGTTTTTTTTAGTGCCAAAAATTTATTTGTCACCCCATGACACAAAAAACCACGCCCACAAAACTTGGGTGCGACTTCACAGTCAAATGATATTTCTAGTGTTTCTTGACCACTATTTTGAAGTTTCTCACACGCTGCTTACAAAGTATTTTCAACACTAATATTTGCTGCCTGCCATAAAACCTTGAAAAATTCTTCCTGTTTATTAAAATATTGCTGAGGTCCACTTTGTCTTGTAATTCCTAACAATGTTAACATAGATCGCAATTCTTCTCTATTAACACCTCAAACCAAAGCAGTATCTGCAAAATATTTGGAAAAATCATCTTCTGGTCTTTCGTTATGATATTCAATTTCATTATAACACAATAAGCATTTACTTGTAACGCAAACTCCGATTTAAAGTTTCAATATTGTTAGTTAAAAGATATTTCTCTCAATTATTATTATATTGAAATACTATTTATTCAGAAATGATTAAAAACAGAATACTATGAAAATCCAAATTTCAAAATATAGCGTCTAGATTACTATATTGTATAGTAAATTTGTTAAGAAATAAGCCAGGCTGTTTATTCCTGAGTTTGACGAAATGAAAGTATAAACTGACTGAGCTACAGCAAATAATGAGCAATTGGAAAGTCCAATGAGCACCATGCGGCTAAAACCTTTGTTTAATAAAACTTTTTGTAAAAAAATATGTAACTAAAATAGTAATTTGAGACGAGTATAAGTAGCTTTTAAGCAAATATATGTAACAATGCCACCCTTAATATTGTTCAAGTTTTAATCAAGTGATAAGATCCAAGTCATCTAAATTATAAAGGTTAGAATTTCTAGATAGATCTTATAAATTCAACATACTTTACTAATATTATTTAATGATTATTATTGAACTCAAATACAATATTACTGGTATCTACTCTATATTCTAAATTGTAAAGACGAAAAATCAAAGATATTTCACTAGTTACTTGTAATAGTAAAATGAGCACATGAGTGATACATGTCGATAATTGAAAATTCTTAGAAAATGATCCAATTTTATAAACATAAAAATTTATTTATTTTAAAATGAAGATGAAAATAAAAGTAATTTAATGATTGATTTTCGACGTAAACAATCTTATTTTTTAAGGGTTGATTATTTAACCGCTTTGGTTAATTAACTGAGTTACTCATTTTTCGAAGAAATTCATTAAATTTTTTGAAAAGAACTGAATAAAATCCAAACTGTTTCTAATTTTTTTTATGAAAATATTAATAATATATTATTATTAACTATTATTGAATAATTATTAATTTATTATCATGATATATTATGATAGAGAATGTCAAAATTTCACCAGTGGTGATTGCGATTTTCACCATTCCGATTTTTTAAATTTTATAAGATTAATATTATATTAAATAATTAATTTAATTAATTACACATATTAAACAGTATCCTATATGTAAATTTACGAGATTTGTCTAAGGTCAAAAAGGCTGTTTTTCAGATAATTTTTGAGAAAACATAAAAATTTTGATATTTTAATTTTTTCACTTTATTTTAATTTTTTTTTTTTTTTTTTTTTTTNAGTAGATTACTTAATTATAATAATCTTCCTGAACCAAAAAATTCTGATGATTATTATGAACAAAATGATAATATAATAAGCAGAGAATTTTCAGGTATGTAAATCAACCGAACAGTAATTCATTAAACATTAATAAACAGTATTGTTACTTTTAAATATAATTAGCCAATATTACACTAATAACAATCTTCAATTTATTAAATAGAATCTTTACAACTTAACTTTTCCCAATTGAATATTAATACTTATGGTATATAGCATACTTATGTAATGTCTTAGTACCTAGTTTATAAAATACTAATAACAAAATTTCAATTTATTAAATAGAATCTTGTCAAATCAATATTTCTCAGTTGAATATTAATGAGAATGGTACATATTCCACTTATAACTTTAAAACTATTAATTTATAACGAAATACTAATAATAAGCCTTAATTTATTAAATAGAATCTTCACAAATTTCTACTATTTCTCAATTGAATGTTAATGAAGATAGTAAGTATCAATATTTGCATAATAACTTTATGTTTTTTTTATTCGTAATTTATATAATCTTTTTTTTTCTTAGGTCAAAATAGCGAATCAGGGAGTAAAAGAAAAAATTATTTTTTAAGTCAAATTAACGAATCTGAGAGTGAAAGAAAAAAAATTAGAATAGAATAAAATTATAATTATATATATCTTTATTTAGTTTTTTGCTGAATTATAAAATTATTATTTTTTTTTTTTTTCAAAAAAAAAAAAAAATTAAATAATTAATTAAGGCTGTAATACAGAAATAATCGTTATACGAAATAAGTCTTAATTAGGAATATTAAAAAATTGTACACAAATATTTACACTTCTTTAAATTAAAATACATTTTCACAAAGAAAAAAAGAACAAAAGAATTTTATGAATGGAAAAAAAAAAAATAGCTTCGCCAAAATAAGGGGTTAATACTTAAAAGGAACATTTTGAAAAGAGTAAGTAAGTAAATGAAAATGAATGAAAATGATAGTACCAAATTAAGCCTCATAATGGGTCTTATTTAGTTTACCGAAAAAGGAAAGTTATGAATGAAAATAATGAAAATCAAATGGCACCAAATATAGCATTTCTATTCAACAAAGTTAAAGTTATAATGAAACTATTTACAGTATTGACATTTTCGGAGCCATTTAATAAATAAATTATATGATAGGATTGTCCTTAATCATTTTAACTTTAACTGCAGGTTCGGATACAATATGATCGGCACAAAATTATAGTAATCCCGAAAGTTAAAGAAATTAGCCAAATTAAAATAACCGAATTTATTAAATTCAACACACTTACAAACTACATAAGATTTTTTCATACGAACTAGACAAATTTTGGGCCAAACGTGAATATAAAAAAAAAAGAGACTTAACATATCAAAAAAGTAAAATAAGATAAAATAAAATAAAATAAAAACAAAAACAAAAATGAAATACATAAAATATAAAATATATGAATAAACAAATAAAATACGATATAATTCAATAATTTGACAAGTGACAATCCGCAAAGTCATCTTCATTTTCTTCATTTTTTAATTCTTCTGCTATTTTAGTTTCTTCATTTTCACTTTCTTCAGAATTAGAATTATCGATATTATTAAGCTCTAAAATTACTTGACTAGCATCTGGTCTTTCGTCAGGTTCATGTCGCCAACATTCTAGAATAAATTTGTTAACCATAATTGAAGAAATAAAAATGATAAAATAATTTTATACTTACGTTGATAAAGTCTAATAAATTTAACATTTGTGTTTGAAATAGGTTCTTCTCTTAAGCCATTAAGAATGTCTAACGTAATAGAAGCATAATCTTTTCTTTTTTCAAAATTGTAAGGAGAGGAACAACTTGTTAATTGCCAGAATATTACTCCCATACTAAATATGTCGGATTTTTTCGTTAAATTATATGGAATTTTTGGATCAAGAAATTTAGGATCCACATAAGGTATTACACCAAATACTTCGGTATCAACATCCGATTCTTGTAGACATGAACGTCCAAAATCTGCTAATTTTATTGTATGCCCATGAATTAAGATATTATTGGGATGCTAAATATAAAGAGGAATGTTCAAATAATTAATTATTATAATAGATAAATTGTGAAATAATATAATTATTCAAACTTACAATATCTCGATGAATGATATCATTGTCATGTAAACATAAGATTGCACTTGCAATTTCTTTAGCAAATTTCAATTGAATTTCCGGCTTAAACGTTATAGCGTTGTTTAAATATTCTCCTAATGTTCCGCCATCCGCATACTCAAGAACAAGCAAATAATTTATTTCACCTAAAAGATAAAAAAAGTATATATACAAGTACTTAAATAAACTATTACCTATAATACTATTAACATATATTTATCACTTGCCTTTTATGACTCCAAAAAATTTAATTATATTTGGGTGAAAGTCAACTATTTTCATTAGATTAATCTAAAAAAAAAAAGAAAAGATGATAAATTGGTTTATAATTTTCTAAATTATTAGTCTAAAAACAGACCTCATTAATAATTTCTTTTCCTGCAGAAAGTTTAGTAATTTTCTTAATTGCAAATTTTGATGTAGTATTTTTCCAATACGCAGCGTAAACTGCAGCAGATCCTCCAGATCCAATTTCAAAAAGAATCTTAAAATCCTGATGGTCATAATGACGATAATCTTTGAGTAGGAACTGTATAATGAATATCGAATATTAATCAGATTGCGCAACAGAATATTCTCATTTCTTCCGGTCAAAAGATTCCCTTTTTGGGAATAGACCGTGCGAAAAAAAAAACCATTGTGTTTCGAAAGTTCTTTCGAAATTCTTCTCCTTTTTGGGTTTACAGGACTGAATTTGGCTATTCCTCTTTTGATAGCTGGTTCGGAGTCGTTATTTGGATTTCTTTTAACTAGAAACTTATGCTTCTTTAAAGTTTTCGTCAATAGGCGGTCTTTAAGTTTTTCTTGTACCTTTAAGCTTTTGGCACAATTTTTTAAGCTCTTATTTTTATAAATGATACTATAAATGATACTTCAACGTTTTGTCAGCAACAGGTATCTATAAAGTTTTTCTATTTTTAGACTTACTCAAAATTAATCTGAGTAAGTTTTGTTGGCTTAGAACAAAGTAAAAGGACCAGAATAAAAGCCAGCGATATCCTTATATATAGCGGAATTTAAATTATGTAAATCGCAAAAAGTGCATTACGATTTTAAAATGAAAATCAATTTTGTATTATCATTTGAATTTTATAATTTGACAGTTACACGATCATTCACAATAACAAAGGCTTGGTTGTTGCTTATTTCAGGAATGGTATATCTAAAACTTAATTAACCTTTTTAAATTAACTATTTTTGTATAAACTTATCATTTAGTCGGAAATAAGTTTACTATCGGCGAACAAGCCAATTTTTCTTAACGTATTTTTTAAAAACTTAGTTTAATTACTTCATTTTTGTTTATTTTAAAGTAACTAAAAGTAAAAAATTAAATAAGATGTCAATTTTATACATTATTCATCCGTTCGGTATATAGAAAACATGTTATGTATACGCCGGATACGTGGTTATGGACATTTTGCAGAAAGCCATTTCACCAAAGGACGTTTCACCGAAAAATAGGGCCAATATTACGCAGCATTATGAATAACTCAGGCGAGGTCAGCCTGGTGCGTGACATTTTCTTTCCAGACGATTTCAATATCCACAATACTATCCAAGGATATTGCATAATCGAAAGTTGTATAGGTTGTTTATAGTTATTGCCTTCTTCATAATTATCGTCACTCAGGCCAGAGATTATTTTTCGGCGAAATGGCTTTCGGCAAAATGTTCCGATACTCGCATACGTACATATTACATTATGACTTTATCTATTATATAATAAAATGTACGCGCGTACTGTTTAAAAATCATATGACCGTACATTTATTTTCTAAGAAGAAACAAAAAGAAAAATAAACACGATTTGCTTATCATTCTTGATATACACTTATAAAAAAGTACTTACTATTTCATAAATATTCAAACTAACTTGATAAAACACTGATATTTAAGTAATTCTATATTTTCTGAACAATTTTACTTAGCCTAGTTATTTTATTTAGTCAAAGTACTAAAATTAAGCCATAAAATTATAAAACAAATGCGGCACAGTAAGTTCATTAAAAAAATATTCATTGTTTTCAAATATTTAAGCAATATTAATAAAAAATTATTATTACAATAATATTTGGTTTTTTTCATACTTTTTAAATAACTCTATTCAATCTCTCAAGTCCTGTTTCATTTAATTAAAGTGTTAATTAATATTATAAAATTTTAAATTGTTAATTGATCACTTTTTGGGAACTTAAATGAGCAAAATGTTTTGCCAGATAAAATATCCGGCATCACTCAATTAAATTATCATGTGATCAAAATCAAAATTGAGTACTTTGATCGGCTTATTGAACGGTTAACCTTGGTCACCTTATTTTTCGTACAATAAAATAATTTTCTTGGCAAGTAAGCAATACCATAAAAGTATAGTAAACTTTTTGAGGGCGCATATTAAAACTTTACTAGGCACCAGATACGTTAAACAAGCGATCAAACATTTTTGTTGTTCGGAAAGTTCGGGTTGTTGATCAGGTCACGCAATTTCATCAGCCAATAATTATCAACTCAAAACCCGATCAAAATTTCGATTGAACAGGCCATATTAACCAATTCCCATTATCCATCCAGTTATTAGATATAATTTGATGATATAAATAATAGTTATTCGGCACGAAGTGCTATATATTGGGTAAATCAAATTTGATTGGTTGATCAGAAGGAGCCCAAGATCAACTGATTCCGATATTATCACGTGATTTATGATTAGTAATTTATAATAAATAAATTAAACTATTTTTATACTTTTATGTTTATTAATCAAACTATTTTTAACCATTTTTTTTTTACGAAACAATTTCTTTCTCACGTAATTTTCTCTACTAAACATTAAATATTTTTAAATAAATTTCAATGGAAACTCATAATTTTAATGTGTTTTTATAAATTTATTAAATTGCAACTTTTATATGGTATTTTTCAATACTAATTTTTGTCAAATATAATATATTCAGTCTTATTTTAAGCCCACAGCTGATGAACTTGCAAGAGCACAGCAAAAAATCGTATTCTATCAAATACTGTCAAATGTACTGAAAAATGTGTTAAAATTATGGACTCTTGGAGAAGTCATCCAAATGTTGACTATACATATTCATTAGAATCACTTACTTCTAAAGAATAAATTGAAAAAGAGATGTGTGAATTTATGGCTTCCGATCAAAAAAAAGGTGAACAGTATTCAAGAGATTACGAAGTCAACAGTCCAAATATTTGATGAATTAGAAGAAGGAGAAGGTTCAAGCCAGGCTAGTCAGTCAAGCCTGGCAATTTGGGAAATTGATGATGATTAATTAATAAATTCATTTTAATAAAAAAATTTTCATATTATTATAATCATGGCTAATTAATTCACTCAAGAATGCGGTGGATGGAATCATAATCTATTGGACGAGAATAATTTTCCCAAAATCCATGCTACACTTGATGGTTCTTTAAAGAAATGAAACGGTTGGGAGTAGGTGCAGCAAAACCGCATGATGGCTTAACAAATGAAGAATTAAACTTACGACGTCTCCTAATAATTCCAAAGGATTACTCAGAAGGGTTTACTTATGGATTTGTCTGTTAGGATGTCCACTCAATATCAATTTTAGCGTCATACTACACTCAGCAAACCGATCCTACTATAACTACTTTTTGCGTTACCATTTTTATTGTGTTCCAACATTAAATGTAACTGTATTTCAGTAAGTCCACAATAAGATTGGTTCGTCTACATGCCTATCTTTCAAATTTAGATACAAAGGTCTTGCAATTAAAAGCATGTTACTTGATAATTATGGTCTATATAATACAAAAGAAGCACTATTCTAAAAGTACCCCTTGGGCTGAGTGACCGAAGGAAGCGAGTGACAATCCACACCTCTGACACATAAGCAAACACAACCCTGACACATGAGTAGATCGAATGGACCGAATGGACATGACAGTCTGCACCAGGATATCTTGTCGAGGTAACTTATCAGGAAAACACAAGCATCTCATTACAAAATAGAATTTGTCACATTCAACAAAGTGTATTTTGACACAGGCGTGGTTGTGTTCTTAATCATGCAATATTTACTATATCACAAATAAGATCATTACCATGGAAGAATTGGAATTTATCGTTGTAAATAAAAAATTTTCAAATTTTCATTTTAATGATTTTAACATTTTTTACAAGAAAATATATAAAATGAATGGTCCCATAGACCTTTAAGAGGATTGAATCCTCATGGCAACAACGATGTCCGGTTTAAAAGTGATAGTTATTGGATTCATTTTGATTAGAATTTGTATATTTATTCAAGAAAAGATTTGAGAATTTGATTTAACTTGCTTGATTCGTTCGATTTAATATGATACGGTATTTTTAAGCATGTAAAATTCATTTGTTCCGATGGTGTTCGATTAGAGAAATCAGTCGCAAAAAAGAAAAATAAAGTTATTATATCCGCCATTGCTTATTATAGAAATTGTGGCTTTCCTTATGTACCCTATTTATCACTATTATCTCTTTTCCTACGCATAATGTATTGTTTCATTTTGATATTCTCCTCTTAGTGTTTCAAAAATAATAGTTTATTTTACTATTCGGCGGACATTGTGCGTTGATGTCATATTACTTATACATGAATAATTCCGATTACTCAATTAGTCTATTTGTGATATTGGTTAATTGATTTTACAAGACGCCTGAATTATTTAGGGGAATTCTTCAGGGGAAATTTTTGGGAATTTTTCTTTTACATTATTGACTTTTTGAAAGAATAAGATCAAATTTTATTTTCCTTAAATCAATCATACGAAAATAAACAACGAAAATAATGAAAATATCACCAATATTTTATTTATTTATTTATTTGAAACCTGCGCCGGATGCGTACGTACAGAATATTTCTACATTGAAATTTTTGCCGATTTTCAGTTGATTTTTGTAAAATTATTTTATCTCGTCTTTCGAATTTTTAAAAAAATGAAGTGAAGGATAATTGGATAATTTATAAAAATTTTAATAATTAATCGAAATTTATTTTTACGTAAAATTAAAAAATCAATTTATCGTTTAATTACAAAATAATATTATATACATATTAAAATCAAACCGATATTCAAAATACAAATAAAAATTTTAAAATTACAAGAATTCTTTTACAAAATCTTTTTAAAAATAAAATAAAATAAGTTTTTATAAAGCTATTTATTTAATTGCTTGATATCATAAACCATTAGGAGAATTTAAACTTTCATACAGTAATAGCAAAGAAAAAGTTTTTTTGTAGCGGTTAACTATAACAATGGCTGTTGATCCATTTTTGATTAAATTTGTATATATATGAGAAATAGTTTCTCGAGAATTGATTTGTCTAATTTATTTGTTTGCTTGATTTATTTGATTTGTCTTTCGTTCTGAACTTTATTGTTTTGATAAGGAAATTTTACAAGGAGAAATAAAGGCGTATTCATGATAAATATATCGAACAAATAAAATTTTGGGCGTTTAAATTGTCGATCATCATCATAGGAAAATTTTACATAATTTTACATTGTTTTCTTGTTATATATTGTTATATACCTACCCTTCACCATCATCTTCTTCCTCATGT